GTTCATAGTGACGCTTTGACAGCATCTGAGAGAAGAGGGAATATAGGTCAGACAGAGCGTGCAAGGTGAAGTCTGCACTTTCATGCGCCTTCACAAGAACTGGAGCAGAAGAATGCTAAGCGGGGACTGAAGAACAGACTTTTAGCTTTTGAAATCCATTTTCACTTCTCTGCTTTAATCTTCAGAGTTGATATTCTTTGACTTGAATAACTCTAGCTGCCTTATCACATGTTTCTGGTATTGTTAGGTGTATATTACAATCCAACAATCACTTTCTACTATAATTTAAGTTCAGATAACTTTTCTGGTGCTCACGTGCTAATTATAACGTGATAGAAATCTTTCTGTTCTCGGCTGTTAATCAATCTGAAAAAGCTCACACGCCCTTTAGAGCAAACGAGGGGGCCATTCGAGTATGAGGCTGGAAAGATATGACGAGTGGAGAAGACGCTTCCTCAACTGGTGGATGAACCTTCAGGCCTTTTTAATGAGGAAATATCTGCCCTGGCTGCCTCTGAGCTCCAGTGGATTATTTCACCGTAAAGAAAAATGTACAATAATGAGAGAAAGTGATGAGTTTTTTTTAAGTATGTAATAATTACATTTACATTAAAATTTTACATATTTTCCTTGCATCTAGAATAATACAAAGACACTAAAGCAGCACAGAAGCTTGAGATCCACATACTGGCTTTTTTTCATACCTCTGCCCCTCCCTTGGGCCTTAAAGCAGGTCATCCTGAATCAGTAGGTCAGTGGTTCATTCCCCAGCTCCTCCAGCCTGCATATCCAAGTGTCCTGGGGGAAAATACTGAACCCCAGATTATTCTGCCACCATTGATGTGACTGCTAAAAGGCTGTTCTTGCACATTTGTTGCACCTCTGATGTTCTATATAATTCTCAACAGGTGGCATTAAACAGCCTTGAACCTGCCAGCTTCAGTCCTGTCAGATTATGCCAGTTTATGTTTATATGAGAATAGTGCAAATACTGCATAGTACAGGTGACAAGGCAGCAGCCTCATGTGTCCTGCCTCCTGCTAGCTCTGCTCAGGTGACTTAAAAAGAAAAGTAGTAGTTTTGTAGTAGTAGTAGTAGTAGTCATGACTTTAATCAAGAGTTGTGCAAAGTTTATGTGTAAGAATGACTTATGAGTGTGTCCAGTGGTCAATAAGACTAGAAAAGTTATTTAATGCTGTTACGACCCGGCTCAACAGAACCATAGTCTAGGAGTATGATTCTTGCTTGGGGTGTGAGACATCTCTGTTTCATATCCCGGACGAGCCCCCGGTTATGTTGCAAAACGACTCAAAAGCTGCAACATAAATATGGAGAGTAACACCAGAATTTCAACTAGAAGAGGTTTTATTTTCAACTATGTAACAAGTTAGCTAAAATAGCTGGTACCACTAAGACGAAGACTAGTGTGGCTACATGAAAGCCTGCCTCGGGTATGCCTTTATCCACACCTGACTAGATGTGGTCAATTAGCAACAGCTGAACACTCTTGCACTGCCACTGCAAAGAGATTAGGGGCTGCAGAGGGGCGT